ATCAATATTTGAAAATGTTAAATAATTCCTGCCCATAGAGGATATGTAAGTTCTCAAAATGTTTGGATACATATAAAATGAGTGGTACCTGGAATTCAAGTTCAACTAATGAGATGAAATCTATTTTATATCTGCTTTTTTTTTTTCATTTCCTGTGATTGGCACAGGAAAACAGCAGATTCTAAAGTTATTTCCCAAAGCGGGTTCCATGGATGGTTAATAGATATTCCTTGATAGAAATATATGTAGAGAAAAATATGTAATTCCATGAAAAATTATGATGGTTTAGATGACAGACTTCCAGGTTATCTGATTTTAAGTCTCTCACTGTCTTTGAATTATTTTACAACCATATAAGTTGTAAACAGCTGAAGGAAATGAAAAATAATTCTTGTCTAAAGACAAGCTAATTCAGGCGTGTCTTATTGAAAAATCAAAAGACTTCCATCTCTGTCTCATTGAAACACCAGTATTACTTCCATTTGCACATTCTTCTTATGTTCCTGATCTAGCAATGTGTCTGTTTTCAGCCTTGTCTGTCTGTTTCACTCATTGATTATGAATTGAAGTTTTAACCTATATTCATTTTTTATGTGTGTGAGTCATTTTACCCCTATATTAAAATGATCTTTTAACATATCTATATGTTTTATCTCTCTCTCTCTCTCTCTCTCTCTCTCTATATATATATATTATATTTTTTTTTTTTAAGATAATACATGTTTGGGAAAGGCTGGTAAAGAGGACAGGGCACTGAGCTGAGACTTGGCAACCTTCTTCCAGACTGTCATTAACAATGGATGACTATTGTTTAACTTTGTATTATGGAAAATCTCAGAGATTCCAAAGTAGAGACAATATATAATGACCTTCCCTCCACATAACCACTACCCAGCTCTTGCACCTGCTGTGGTCAAGCTTATTTCTTCTATCTTACCCCTACGGTTTCCCACGGGATTATTTTGGAGCACCTTCTAGGTATCATATCATTTTGCATATTTCTAAAAAATAAAGTCTCAAAAAATAGAGCCACAATACCATTGTCATACCTAAAATTGAAGGAGAAGTCCTTTAACTCATGAAATAATTCATTTTTTGGCTCTGAGCTCAAAGACCCTGTTCACCTCTATCACACTATTTGAAAATACACCCTCAAGGGTATCTCACTTCTATGCAGCGGCTACACTTCTGAAATATTGAGCTTGGTCTGAAATTTTAGAAATCAAACTCTTGTTTAAATGTGTCACAATGAATTACTACTTAAGGAAAATGAGCAAGAAATCATTTTGAATGAGCATCTTCCATTAATATGCTTGTATGTCTAGGTGTCAGCTGTCCTAAAACTCCTCCGCTACTGATCTACTTCAAGAAGTCTTATAAAATGACAGTACTTCCAATGCACAAGCAAATTACTAAAACAGGGTCTCTGCATTTCCCTACAAGGTCGGGAACATAAGGGTGCATATCTTTAGAGTTGCCTCTAACGTATGAGCGATCAGGAAGCACTCTGGAATCAAGAGATGGAATTGTCTTCCCTGTTAATGGTTGGAAGCTCTCTTAGCTCAGGCTGCTATAGCAAAACATCGCAGATTGATGGCTTAACAACAGAATCATTTTCTCCCAAGAAAATTAATCCCAAGGTCAAGGTACCAGCTGCCTCGGTTCCTGGGGAGAGCTTTCTTCCTGGTTTTCAAATGGCAACCCCTTCACCGTGTCCTCATACAAAAGGGAGAGAGAAGGCAAGAACAGGGGTTAGAGCTAAAGAAGCAGACCTAATATGGAGTCAGATTTTTCTTCCCTATTACGGAGAGACTTTCTTTGAGTTGCCAGTGACGTAATGCTGAGAGGTGTACAACCCTCGGGAGAGAGTTTTACATATAAAATTAAATTCCATACAGAAAATCAGACAAACATCAGTCATGGCACACTCTTTGCTGGGGACCCACGGTGATGACGTGGAAGGAAGGAGAGACAGAGGGGAAATTCTTGCCATGCTGAGCAGCAAGTGTGAGGTTTTCTTTTCTCTATATCCTCAAGGGTAATTCACTTCCAAGCAAACAGGAAACACTGAATGGAATTAATATCACTCACTTAGAACTTATTACATCTTTCACTCAGAAATGAAATTTGCTATAAATAAAAGTTGGGGAAGGAAGAACAATGGTTTTATTTCTAGTTTTAGGCTGAAGACCCCAAGTATCAAAGAGAGAGAAAAAGATGGGTGTGGGGAGGGAGGTGATGGGCAAAGATATCGTCCAGAGAGGCAACAAATTCTACCAGCTGTAGTTTATGATTATTTCCTTGTCATGGGGCAGGAACAGTACATAAATAAATGTATGAGTATTTGATGGCTCCCCCAGAGGGGAGTAGCCTAGCTGCCTCCCACTTCGTCCTTTGTCCTCTTTCTATCCCCTAGACCTTAATGCACAAACTCAGAGAAATCGGTGGAGAGGGAGGCACAAAAGAAAATAAAAGTTAAAAATATTTGTAGCAGGAAAGGGTGAGGTTCATTTGTGAAAGGAGGGGGAAACGAGGCATGGAAGGAGGAGGGGGAAAACAGGAGCTTCTGGGAAATTGTCCAGGGGAATGTTTGTGGGGAAGAGAATGGAGAATGAGATAAAGGGATGGAAGTTGAAGGATAGCTTGTGCACCCACATACCAGGTAGTCGAAGAATAAAAAGAAATGAGGTAGAGATTTTGAGAAATGTCAGTGTGGGTAAGATCTGTACTCTCCTGAGTACTTTCCCAGAGATAAAATTAATTACTTATGGTTCTGGTCCCTAGGTTGAGCTGTGTTGGCTGGAAAGACTGAACAATGTGGACTCTTTGAATTTAGATGGGTTACACCTGGGGAGTGAACCTCCAAGTCTCTGGACTTGTGATGTGACATCCAACTGTGCTTTGAATTAAGTTGTCACCTGAGTCAACAGTGCATTTTGGTGTGAAGATCAGACTCTTAGAACAATGAAATAAAGAAGTGAGGAATGGGTTATTGAAATAACTCTAGAAAGCCAGACAATGTGGTTGAGGCTTGCTGAAACAGAAACTGTAATTGGGAGGAAAAAAAGGAAAAATAATTCCAATTTGGAAATCAGATCTATGAAGCAAAAATAATGAATTAAATTGAGATTGTCTTTAAAAGGAAAACTTCTCTTCTGAAATTGCAAACTGGACATTAGTTTTAAGACAGCTTCAGTGGCCATCTGACTTCTTAAGAAATTATATTTCTTTCTCAGCAGAGAAAGAACGGCTATGTCAGTCATGACTGGATCACACAGAAGATGCTGCCTTGCTCCACTGGTGGTGAACACATATATTCCAGGGGGATCTGGCTGCTGCCATGGAAATTGGCTTCCAGCAGACTTTGGAACCACTGGAACAAAATAATAGCTCCCAGAGACTTGAGAAACTTGTGGGAAATACCATGCCAACGAAGAGTCAAATAAAAAACCTAGAGTTGTGGTTTGACCATTCCACCAAAATGATACAAAGATGCACAGACACAGACATAATGAGATGCTAGTATCTAACATCCTACACCAGGGATGACTTAAGAAGTCAAAGCTAGAGGAGCTGCCATTAGTCAGTTAGGGATGATTTTGAGAGGATGTGCCCGTAAGAAGTGGCTGGCAGAATTCCATAGGTGGACTGTCTGCCAGGGGTGATGGAATGAGGCTTGGCAAATCTACTGGTTGGAGCATTTAGGTGAGGGAGCCATGATTTCCTGGATTTTAATCCCAAAGCAAGAGTTGTTACTGAGTCCAAGCTTGTACTGCTTCCTGCATGACAGGCCAATAAATGGAGAGACAAGGTGTTGGGGCAGGGAATTGCAACATTATTTAGAAAGCCAGCTGACCAAGAAGATGGTGGACTAATGTCCCAAAGAACCATCTTGCCTGGATTTGGATGTTAGGTTCTTTTATAGAGAAAAGGGGTGGGGGATAAAGTAAAAAAGGTGATAAGTTGTTGCAAATATTTCCTGGTTCCTGCCAGACTCTGGACGGAATGTGTTAACTTCTTCCTTCCTACAGCCATTCATTGATGTCAGGATGTTAAAAGGTATTTTAGCTTAATGCTCAGACATGGGAGGCAGGGCTCCCAGAGGTGGGACATTATGTATTTTTTAAGCTCTAGGCAACATTCCTTTCATGATTAACTTGTAGCAGAAGCAACAGAATACAAAGGTTAAAGTAAAAGAAACAGATCTAATATGGATCAGATTGGGTCTTCCCTATCACAGAGCCTCATGAATTCTCACTGTGGGTGAAGTAGACCCAGGCTGAGGAGGATAAAGGATGGATTTTAACAGCCTTCACCTAATGGGGCTCATGCCAGAGGCCTTGACCAGATTTAGGGAACTGGAAGTTATAGCAGGGGTACCCTCTTATTGAAGTCTTCTCAGGGGAGCATAAGTAGAATCCAGATCCTTATCTGGGACCCCAGAAGACAGCTCTTTTTGTAGGTCGGGCACTAATTTGCTTCCAGTGAAAGTAGTTTTCCTATGGTGAGCGGAGATTTGAAAGAACCCAGCATGGGTGAGTCCACGCAGAGATCGCCCTTGGCCTGCCTGCTCAGACAGAGATCGCCCTGCTGCAGAGAAGAGGGGCGCCTAGTGGTGGCCACCACCTCCAGGGTTTTTACCAGATGAATCACCTTTTGCTATTTGAGGAATAGGGGCTGGAGCAGAGGAACTGAGGTTCTCTGGGGAGGCGGTGGTGGGGGTGTCAGGCCAGTTCCAGGTCAGTGTCTTGAGGGATCAGCAACAACCCCTTGGCCTCTGCTCCAGCCCTGCTCACCTCCAGACCTCAGGACACTGGAGATTCTGCGGACAACACAATGGCTGTGACAAGGAGGAAGCCTTGGACCTCTGAACTTAATTCTTGGTTCTGTGCAACTTTCCAAAGCAGCTAAAAGGTAATGGTTTGGCTTTTAAATCAAGTTAAGGAGGACGGAGAAAGAAAGGGAAAACAGACTGGATGGAGGATGGACACACAAAAAAATCATTTTTTAACGAAGTATTATTTTTCACTGCCTAGGCAAATGACTTATGTGAAATGCTTATATGAAAAGCAATACACGGTTTTGTTTTGACTTAGTTATCATTATCATCAGGTTTGGTGCAAATGGAAATTTACAACAAAATGAAAGCAAACAGCATCATGGGTTATGTACAGTCCTGTGACAAGGTGGCTTGCGGTTCAGGCAATGTACCGCTTGGGACACACGTCTTGGTTTCCCATTCCAGTTACTGCAGATGCTACATGAGGAAGCAGAACATACATGGATGAAGAGAAAAATAAGTATCACTAGGCTAAAAAAATTAAGACTATTACAAAGGATATAAATAACCAACTTATAATGTATTGCAGTACAAATAAACAGTAATTTTAGTATAAAAATGCATTTGCATGAAGAAGCTATTTAATAACAATGATTCAACTGCATCGGAAACAGGCTAAGGTTGTATGAGTCACATATATACACCGTCACCGTCCACAGGGAACTTTAATAAGCCATCTGAAGGCCAGGCATCCTGTCTGAAGCTATCCAAGGTCCTTCACCCAAACCTCCTGGTTCAGGAAAGATGCCCCAAAAGCCGTCCCGTCAGGGTTCATCAGACTTGACTCCACATTCGGTTTTAAGACAAGCTGTACCTTCTAAAGGGGATCAAAACATAGGACTGAGGTCAACAGATACTACACAAGACAGGACACTTCTGTTCGCACAAAAGGTTTACATGAGTACTTTCTAAAATGTTCTATCTGACAGGATGGGCCAAGCACGCACGTGTGATACTGGCAGGAATAGTGCTTTATCACGGGGATCAAGGACACAGGTAAACCAACCACGGATGCTCATGAGCAAAGGCACCAGTCTCTGCCTTCCTCCTCTCACTTCATCCCAATTTAGGGTTTTGTGCTGAAATCTCAGTATATCCTGTCATCTCTACCTTCTTTTGGGCTCTTTTAATGTTTCCCATGTTGTAAGGCAAGTACACAGGCTCCACTCTTAAAGGACTTGGTAATAAAGAGTCCCACACTGAGTGCTTGCCATCAGAGACATTTTTATCCCCCACCCAAATCATGGAGCAACACCACGGCTGTTAAGGATTTTGGCCATAGGAGCCAAACTCTGGCTTTTCCCACTGTCAGAGTCAACCTGTCCGAAGCCTGTCTGCTCTTTGTTACAGTTGTTATTTTGGATCTTTTTGTTGCTGAGACCTGCAGCTGACAGGGCTCACGTGCCCAAGATCGCACCCAGGCCGTGCGGGGCCCTGAGACCCGAATGGGCCGGGCCTCTCACCCCACCTGTGCTCCCACCTCACAGGGGGAGGAGGAAGTGGGCCTCCCTGTGCGCTGCTGCATCATGAGGTCTCTAAGCAAGTTGGCGTGGTTTGGCAAGAGATGAATGATCAAAAGAAACCTAAGAAAATGGAGCTAGAAGTTTTAGCCTTTCCCTCTAATCAATGAACAGGCATCCCACTTCAGCGACTCACACATAAAGGACGACACCCCCATTCTGAAAGCCAGTTTTACTTAACTTAACCTGATTTTGAGACATATAAAATACTATTCTATAATTAAATAACTGATACTGTCACATAAGGAACCATGTTTTTTTTTTTTATTTTTTTGAATCAAGATCATGTTTTCATGCACTTGACTTCTGGCTTAAATACATTACCTGCAGGAAAACTTTATCAAATCCTATTGACATGCTAATCTAATTTGAGTTATTTTAGGTTGGCCTTCTTCCTTTGGTTCTATATTCAGTAATATTAAAACCCTAAAGGCTGCAAACAGAAAGAAATTAAATCAGATGTGTACTTCTCAGGCCATTTAGTAAAAACCCCATCTTTTGCCAGGATGTTAAAAAAAATAAAAATAAAAAATAAAAACAGGAAAAGTGGTCCACATTGCCAGATATTCTGACTTTTAATGGATCTGCTTCTCCAAACTGTTTCTCCTCTTCCTCCAATTTTCTTAAGTATTTCTGAGAAAGAAAAGATATTTTTCTCATTATATAATTAGGTACTACTTGGAGTCCAATTGGAAACTGGCCTTACATTTATAAAAAGCCAAAGCAGATTCTATTCCTTCATTCCTTCCTCTTTAGTCAAATATTCCACTTAAAATAAAATGAGAATTATTTCAACTTGGGGGTAGGGAAGGGATCACACACAGGAAAGTCAAACTATGAAACCCTTCTTATCCCATACCCTTGAACTTGAACTTAATGATCTCTGAAAACTTTGTTTCAGCTGATTACAAAAGAAAGGAATGCAGTGACGGGAGGGCAGGCCCAGCTCAGGCTCCATTTGATTCTCCCTGAGAACCTCCCTCAGGACCACGGATGTGTCAGAGACCGAGACAGCAGGAGGGGCAAGAAATGAGCAAAAGGCAAGGTCCTCCCAGTTGCTCGGTTCTCTGATGGCCTCAGACTTGAGGTTGCGCTGCTGTCTGAAGAGAAAAACCACTGACCAGTCTTAATGAACTTCGCCGTACTGGGGGATGAGGCTGTCAGGGAACTGAGTTGGAAAGATGAAAAATAACCATCTCTAAAAAATGGATTCTGTCAGAATAAAAACTCTCTTTGTGTGAGGCTTGCAACGGGCTCATTCAGCCACACCAAGGGTTGAGTTTCAGACCCCACCCCCTACTCCAGTGAGCCCGTGTTCAGAGTTAACACAAGGTAAGGGTTATCTAAACAGCCAGGAGTACACAGTGTATTTCTTTCTAAAGATGACAGCAGCCTTTTGAATTTCATAAACCTACGCTACTGATTCTGTCTGGACCCAAGGGGTGTAGGATCAACTTTAGACATCTTTCATAAGGCGGGAATCAAATTTTATGAATTTATTCTAAAACACAAATCAAGTAGATGGAAGGATTTTTTAAAAGACATTGGGCCCCCTGGGTATTTTTAGTAGATTGAGTATTGAGAGATTTACAGGGATAAAATTCTTTACAAGATTAAGGGCGAAGGAAACGAAACCAAATCTTTCATTTCCAGATACTCACTTTCATTAATTCTTTCACCAAAAGCACATCACTGAAGAAAAACCAGAAGTGGCTTTTCAGTTATTATTAAAGTGGTTCAAGAGCCAGGGAGCCCTTGAGATGGAAACAGAACAACACAGTATTCAAGCTTTCTCCTTAGGACTACCTTGTCCTGGCAAGACTTAGGAGATTTCTGGCTTCAAAAGGAATATTGCTAAGGGAACATTTTGAAAAAAAAGAATCACTACATGTTGGCTAAAAACAACAACTAAAATCTCTCCTGTAAAACCCTTACTTCCTTTTGAAACTCCGAAGGCTACAGCATTTCATCTGAGACGCTTGGCAGTCAGGGCGTCAGGGGCTGGGCTTCTTGACAACTTGAACCCTTAAGTCAGGATGGAGGCCGCCGATGTCGAGCTGACTACCGTCAGAGTCGTCCCGCGCAGGAAGTACCATGCAGGGCGTGGGGGCCCGCAGGCCCGCGGGGGGAAAGGTGGAAATGCTACAGGGAAGAAGTAAAACCCGACAAGGCCGACTTACAGTCAGGATGACTTCCAAGCACTCTTCTACAACAATATCCAAGACCCTCTAAAAAAGCACCCCTGTACTAGGGTGCCTGATGTATCTTACAGTTTGACAATAAACACTTGATACAAGAGGAGGATGCAGGTTGGCTGTGCTGTGAGGATGCCCTGCTCCCACCTCGGGGGCCCAAAGCCCCATTGGCTGTCTACGAACAGGGCGAGGAGGGCTGGGGAGGGCTTCCTCTGCTCAGAACTCTGTGGCCCCAAGTAAATGAACCTGTGCCCATCCCAGGGCTCAGACAGATCCTAACAGCATGTTTGTTTCCTGTATCCTGATTGTCATGCCCAAAAGATTCCCCTTAACACACACAAGGCTCAATGCCAGGAGACTACAAGACTAGAGATCAGTTTTTAAGAGAAGCTTGTTCATTTAGGAAAAAAATAAGGGTTTAGTTTAACCTGCAGACCAAAGGGAAGCTGGCATATTTCTCTGGTCTGTGTTGTTGGAAATGCTGGCATCAGGCCGACGGCCCCTTGTCGGCATGCTGACTTCTGCGCTGCCTCAACGTGTCTTCAGCCACCTCTGCGTCAGTTGAAGGGGGCTGCTCGGAGGCGGCGTCCAGAGCCTCGTCTGGCCCGACGTCTGGCCCGACGTCTGGACCCAGGTCCTCCCGGGCCTCTCTCGGGGCCGGGTCCTGGGCAGCACTCCTCTCCTCGTCCGCACCAGCGGCCGGGCCATCCTCCTCTTCCTCCTCTGCTTCGTCTTCGTCACCCAGCTCTTCCTTCTCTTCTTCCTCATCTACAAGGCTGTCCTTGTTTTCTTCTTCATTGGAATCCTCTTTCTCCTCCTCTGCATCCTGCAACTGCTCAGCCGCGTGAGCCTCCTCAGACCTCAGAGTCTGCCCTGTGGAGGGAAGAGAGGGGAACAGCCTCTGAGTAAACAATGGGCATTTACAAATACTGTATGCTTTCACTTACACGCAGAATCTAAAAACTAACATGAACAAATGAATGTAACAAAATAGAAACAGACTCACAGATACAGAGAACAGACTAGTGTTACCAGAAGGGAGAGGCAAGACAGGGGAAGGGGACAGGTACAAATTACAAGCCATAAAATAAATAAGGTACAAGGGTATCATATACAGCACAGGGAATATAACCAGCATTTTATAATAACTTTAAATGGAGTATAATCCATGAAAATCTCAAATCACTATGTTGTACACTTGAAACCGATATAACACCATAAATCAATTTAAAAAGGTCATTCAGTGGGGGTGGGTTTATTAGCTCAGTGGTAGAGCACATGCTTAAAATGCACAAGGTCCTGAGTTCAATTCCCACTACTCCATAAAAATAAAATAAAAATATAAAAATAAAAGGTCATTCAGCAATCACTTGAGTGCATTCAGCTGTGGAATGAAACAAAGGGGCATGTGACAGTTTTCTCCATCCTGAAACTCTACTGTCACACAGGCCAGATCTCTGGCTGGCATTCACCCCACCCAGGGCTTCTCCCCCTCTCTCTGGACACTTCCCTGACCATGCTGACTCTGGCGGAGCCTGGGGGCAGGGAGGGCAAAGGTTCCTTTTTGTTTTGTATGTGGTACCCTGTAGAATGTTCAGTGACCCACTCACTGGTCATGGTGATTGGATCAGAAATGTGACTTAAGCCGAGCCAATCAGTACCTCCCAGAGGCCTTGGCCAGGGTCAGGAGGAAAGGCTTCCTCTTTCTGCAGGGATGGCTAAGCTGATAAACTGAGTTGGGCCTGCTGAGCCACTGAACCAGCTCCATGGGAACAGAAACCTAACACCCCTTGGGCTGTGCTTGAAGCCAGAAGATCCCTGGATTTTTAAGTTACCAGAGCGAATACATTTTCCTTTTTTTCCCTCTAAGTTGTTTTCAACTGGGCTTCTGTTACTTTTTAGAATTCTAAGGAGCATTAATATATTTTATAATTATCTATGGAAGTCTCAAAACCTCGAAAACCTCAAGAAATAAAAGGAAATATAAGCTTATTTAGTTAAACTGCCACATAAAATTCAACAAAGTCTCATAAAAGTCTTCATGCAAAAAAATAGGAATAAAAATAGGCAAATCCAGGGCTACCTGGTCCCAGAAACAGTGTGAAGTAGTGAAAGGATTTGGGGAGACTAGTTTAAAAGACTTAGGAAAATTACTGGTTCACGGCAGAAACTCAGTGTGAGTTCCCCTCCCTCCCTTCTCATGCCAGTTTGAATGAAGGAAAAAGTTGTCAGCTGATTACTGAAGGGCATACAATTCAAGGTAAAAAGCAATTGCCAAGATGAAATAGTCCCTCATTTAAGAGAGGAAGAAAAAAATTCTCGTTCAAATCAATCTAGACATACTTCAAGGAGTTTCGTAGTGGTGACAGTCTGGTCACCCAGCAAATCAGAAGAAAAATCCACTACCTGTATGAGCACAAAAGCGCAAACCAAGAATTCCAAAAATGCTGTATCTCATAAACGTGTCATACGCACCAGAATGTTCAGACAAATGTCGTGGAAGTGGCATAGAGAAGCACTCTGATATTACCACCAAGACCTGGAAGGGAAAAGTGATTTTACAGTGAGGAGACAGCACATTTATCATCAAATAACCTCAAAGTTCAGCCCTGCTTCTGTAACCAAATATTCACAAATATAGAGCAGTTGGTCAGAAGTCCTCAAGAAAGACAAGGGGATCATTAAGAATTCCCTATTTTTGAAATGTGATACAATGTAGGGAAATACTACTAATGTAGAACAGGGGTCACAAAGTCAAGTGTGTGCACACAGCCCACTAAAAACAGATGAATGAAGCAGGTAGAAGAAAACAGACGTTATCAGCCAAGTCAAAAACGACCTTCTAAAAAACACTATTTTGAAAAATAAAATCATTCTGTATGTGGAGTGTGCCTCACCAGTGGGTAACCCCTGATCGTGAGGAAGAATATTTCAGGGTGTGGAATTCTTTAGAGTGCCATAAAAAATTCCTGCAGGAACAAACTGTGAGAAAACACATCAATGCTGTGAGCTAAATCCTACTGAGACAGCGGCTGACTGGCTTCACCTCCAGCCTTGACTGCAGCGTTGAGTCACTTTCTGCTCGCGGTAAACCTGCCGCCACACAGGGCAAAGTGAGCTGCAGCTGGGAGGGGCTGGAGCCCCTCTCTACACCCTCCCCACGTCCACCCATCCAGCACACGCAACACAGAGACCCCGCACAGCAAGAAGATGCCCGTTGAGAAGGGCTTCCCAGGTCCTCCTAGACCTAGCTAACCCCTGCACCTCACCTACACTCTGCACAACTGCCCAGTCTTTAAAATAGGAATAGGACTTCATAAATCTGTGTTTTTAAGGTGCCCTAACATTTTAAAGAACCCAAAGGCATGGTTGTTTTCCTTCGATTTTACAAACATCCTGCCTGGGTTTTCCGCTGCTTTCCCGCCAGTCTAGAGCTTTCCTGTCTTCCGTCCTTCAAAGCAGTTTCTGAGGTCAGAAGACGATGCTGCCAGAGTGAGCTCATATACGGACTGTGCGCTTAAGGATCATTCTCCTATTGGTTTAAGATGCAAGAAATCCAAAACGTATACATTTCTAAAACTGAGCCCTATGCAGGGGGAGCTGTCAGATTAAAAAACTGAAACTAAGAAATAAAATAAACACACAGACCGAGCCATGTGCTCACATGTGGAAAGTAACATTCAGCAAAATACTCAACCATTTCCAGGCTCAGTCAAGAGAGTAAACACAAACCAAACTGCAGCCTCGTTCTGACTCTTCATCTTCCAAAATCAGGGAGAAAGTAAGAAACGTACTGGGTTTATGGGAAACGACGAGTTGATCAGGAAATCGCTTCTATGGAAAACGCCCTGTCCCACATGGCCACCGCGTGAGTTGAACTCCATGAAGACTCAGAGGCAAGGACCGCCCCCCGCGCCCCGCCAAGGTCAGCAGGACCAAGCTTCACATGGCTGTGTGCTGGGGCCTTGCCTTCAGCCCCCAGGTAGCGGCAAACTGACACACAGCAACGAACTGCTCACCGGGAGACCTCGCTGACGGCAAAAACGCGAGCTGCCGTGTTTAACTCATATTACAGTTGTAGAAAAGGCATTCTGAGCAGAGAAATGCGTTTGCTACTTTATGGGAATGTATTATCAGAAAATGCATGAGTCTTATCACTGCTTTGAAGTCATTTCCTTAAATAACGTTCTCTCCCCAATGCCTTATAAAGAAACCACAGTCTGTATCACTTAGCCACTTCAGCAGCTTAGAATCAAATCTCTTCTTTCTTCAGGTCAAACCTCTGATAACTTTCCTACGCTGATTATTTGACTCTAAGTTTCCAAATGTACTTAGGGTCTAGGCAGGCCTGACTTTCGGACTTCAAGTCAACTTCAAAGATAAAATCTAAAACTCTTTATGCTAAGAAGAGTTTTCAGTGGTCTTCCAACAGGCCCACAGTCGAGCTACATTCTCCATAGCTCCATCTCAGAACTGCCCAGGATCTCATACTGTCCCCCTACAAGAGCCTCACATTTATGCTGTTAGAAAAGTCTAGCAGCAGACAGTAGATGGGAAAGTACATTTATATCCAAAGTCAAACCATTTTAGGCCAGAGCATTCGGGACACGTTAATTATCAGTAAGATTAATGCAGCAGTATGGAACATACCCAGGACCTAACAAATGACGTATCTAAGTTCTGTCCCCACCCAGGCAGTTAATATCAGGAGTCAAATCTCAAATATAAACCATAATATGAGGTAAGCGTGTTCATGGCAAAATAAAATCGAGTCTCTTTGGCTCCCTGGAACATAACTTTGTAGTACCACGTTATGACTTGCTATAAAGGCTAACATTTTTAGCTTGTTTTTAAAAAGGATCTTGCTAAAGAGACAAGATGCATTATAAATGTAAGGACAGACTTTAACACAACTTACCTAAAAGGTTGTCCTTTTTATATAAATTCTTAGTAATTGTCAATTATTCCTTTCATACAGTGTTTAAGAGCTATGTGATTAATATATAGTATAAAGACTTTTAAGAACTTTTTAGAGTTTAAAGCTCAAATTGATCAAGTATAGGTAATGAGAAAGATTCGAACACACTCACTCACACACACACACAAAACCAAGAATAAAACATGCCCAAACACTTCAAGTTGCCTACATAGTTAAGCAAATAAATGTATTATCCCAACCCTCACCTAAAAGCCCCAGGAAGAAAATGCACAGGTGCCTACTGGACAGTGATTCTCATGCCCAAAGACAACACAGTGATGTGTTTTGCATCTTATTTTTTCACACAATAACGACTGTATCTTTTATCCACCCAATCTTACAGAATCCACCTTGGGAAAAATGCAGTCTATGTATAAGCAACTGATAAGAATCAGAGTTTCAATTTGAGGACATGAACAGGAAAAGCCATTCTGTTCACCCAAGGAGCAAATTCGTAGCTTTGGCCTCAGCACCACGGTGTTCTAATCACACAGGCAGTGCGTGAATTCACAGCTGGCTCGGTTATCTTGGAAACTATCAATTTAAGCAAGTCTCTATTTCTTCTTTCATCATAGCTGTGTTTTGGGTAGCACCTATCTTCAGAATATTTAAGGGACAGGATTAAGAGAAAATAATTTAATTAATTTCCCACGATATCTCAAATTACCACTGGAAACAGTATCAAACAAGCCAATGTTATCTAACTGACTAGACTACACACAAAATGACGTTCATGTGCTTTTTTTTCTTGGCTGCTTTCTAGTTTTGCATGAAACCAACTGGCTTTAAAGACAAGGAAAAAAGACTGGCAGCATCCCTTACCAGACCCATGAGAAGGCCAAAAATCAAGGTGGCTACGACGAAAAAGACGTACGAACACCAAGCAGGTACTCCAAGGGTCACTGTGAAATAGTTGTGAAGATGCTGTAATCAGAACAGAAAAGTAAAATACAATATTTATTCATAATGAGAACCAAAAATGTCTGACTCTCCCGCCTGAGCTATAACTCAGTTCTGTAAATTTCTCTACTTACAGGAGCTCCCACAAAGAACATCCAGAGGTTTACGCATCTGTGTGATTCTTCAAGCAAGCAAGTCAAATTTTACAACATTGAGAATCTAAGAGCAACAGTCAAGGTCGTATCTAGTAAGAGTCATACTTCCCTGAAGTTCAGATCAAGAAGAACTCTAGTGGGACTGTTGTCTAGTTCCTTCTTCCATCATGAGAGTTTCTGGTCACTCTCCCCTAATAATTTATATACCTCAATTTCTACTCATAATATGGCATCCATGAAAAAATTAAACTTCTTGGGTCTCTACCAACTTTTAAGTGGAACTAAATTATTACTTACAGAACATCAACTATTTACAATGTCTCCATACTTCCTTCTTCTCATCAGACTCTTATTTCTCTACCCTCACCCATCCTCAACAACTTTCCTAACCACCATAAAACCTAAATGTAATAATACAAGAAATTTTCCAGGTAATTCATTATGAGCAGATAAGACTTCGTCAGTCTTTCAGTGCACACCCCTTCATGTTTACTGTTCCCTGAGACTCTATTTGATGCCAAACACTAAAAAAAAAAGAGTGAAGAGGTACAATCTTAGCTACAAATTATTTACATGCTAAATCATACAGGAATTACAGATATGAACCTGCTGGTTTGGAGTCAAAGCCCATTTAGATGTGGACTTGCAGGAACCATGCTTCCTTCTCATGATGTCTTAGTGATCATGTCTTTCAGGCCCTACAGCTTCAAGAACATTCACTATAAACTGATAACTTTATGATTTTGTTATGTCTATAGATAGTCTTATTTACAAAATTACTGGGCACAGGATGAAATGGCTCCAGGCTAAATGCCACCAGCAGGCGGAGATGACAACTGAATGACTTCCCTAGAACTGACGAGGTTGATGAAATGAGTCCAAAATTCTATTTTAATACTTCTCAAAACCTAAGTTACTCAAGTATCTCCCACTGGTTTCTCAGTTTATAAATGTCAACTAAATAATATATTTTATTCTGGCTTAATTCAGAACAATAAATAAAAAATCTTGCTAGCCGATTCAGAATAATCTGAGATCTCCTCATTTTTTATTCAGCAGTAGAGATTATATATAAAGACTCATCAAGTTTTTAAATACTGACACATGTAATTAAAGTGTTCAATAAATATTACTGATTAAGAAAAAGATACTAGCAAATCCTTAAACTATTCATAGGAAATGCAAACAACTGCTGGTTTGTTAAACTGTCACCTGTCCTCTGTCGATGGCACAGTCAATCACTCTGCCTTCCGCCAGGGCAATTACGTATTAAGAACAGTCCAGCATTCTGCAGCCCAGCAGGTCAAAGAGGTATTTGGGATATAGAAGGCTGTTTCATTCAAATTCTGTTCAATGGAAGTTTTAAAATGCATTGTACAGTCCTCTACTTTAGGAAATTTTGCATACTGAATATAATTTATGTGTGCTTTTCTTGATGATTCAATGTTGTCATCAAGACTTAAACTCTCAAACATGCCAAAGAATTAGGAGACACAGAAAGTCAGCATGCCTCTGTGCTGACCCCTGGATGCATGAATTCTGGAACTTGCTTTATAAGTAATATCTGCCCAGAGTTGGAATGAATCACATCCAGTTGTAAGTCTTTCTGGACAGTATCTTAAACCCTTTCTGCAAAATAAATGATTAAAGAAACCCTCAAGAAATTTTCTAAGTTATTTTCCAGAATTCAGTAAATTATGTGCCTCTGAATCACTGCATTCTGAGTCACATACTTCTTGGTGCATTTAAAGACATCCTCTCATTGTAGTAAGGCTCCGCTTCAATTTTCTTGTATCAACTTACTCTTGAGAGAATTTGAGCTTCTTAGAGAAACTCTGCCATCTTGTGGTCTTTTTAGGTAATTATTGCTAAAGCCTCACTAAACAAGTTGTATTTTCACAACTGCAGCCACAAATCTTTCTGTTTACTTTGCCTGAGTCCACACTGGTTTCAGAGCACGAGTGTTGGGTTCCTGGCACGAGGTACTTGAAGTTTTGCTGTATATATGTTTCCAAGTAACAACTGATTCAACCTGATCTAATTCAGTTTTAGATTTCTGTGTTTCTGTTTTTTTAACTGCCAGACACAGTAACAGCTTTCACTTGTGGAAAACACTGATCCTTGTTCAATGTGTTCATTACAAGGAATTATCCTAGAATTTCATTAAAACACACAAAAATGTCCTCTGATGGGCCTGATACCTCATACTATTTTATTTTTGTAAAAGAGGACTGAATTAGAGCTAATTTTTGCCTATATATGGATTTGAATGAGAGGACTAAATGAAGACACCATTAGAGTAGAATGAATAGGAACATTCCAACCAGCGATCAGATGGATTTAAGGAAAGGGGCCAGGCCAAGGCAAGCAGAGGTCGGAGGCGGAACCTCCCTCCCCAGGGAGGCCAGCACTCCCTCTGGGACCTGAACTCCTGCAGGGCAGAGTGAGTGCTGCCCACGGGCACCACCCACCAGCCCAGTGCTGCAGTCTCATTCAGACCTGGGCTAGCTCCGGGCAGAGCGCCTTCTGAATTAGACCCCACCTGTGTCACAGGATATTCCCCTGACGGGTTGTGGAAAGATGCTAACATCCCTTTCAGACACCGCGTACGTAGGCCGTGGCACAGGCGGGTCAGGAGGGCCGTGTCTGCGGCAGAGGTGTGCAGAGACCACCCCACTGGTGTGTCCTCTCATCTCTCTTCACAGTTGGCTACAATGACGATCCTCAAAATGCCTTCCCAGTGTGGGAGCAGCTCAGAAAGGCTTCTCCAGTGACGGCCAAGGGTTCATTCCCCTTCCATACTTTCTCCTCTTACACCCGCAACAAGGCACAGACGTGCAGCCTTTTGTCGGCTCTAGGAGAGGTCACCTGTGGGTGTGCACCGTCTCACTGTGACATAGTTCTAGAAATTTTCACAAGGGAAAGAAAACCCCAAAACAGTAAGAGAAGAGACACCACAATCTAAAACACAAGGGGATGTTCTCAAGTTTAAAGTTTCCTCAGGTTATTCTCCGGTCTAAATACTCATGGCCTTTAACTCTCATCCTGAGCTGTTTATAAAACATTAAATCTTCTCCATCACACAGACTGCCCTCCCAAGGATGCAGCACCTAACTGTAGCTCAAATTTGCCATGTGCCTGCATCCTTTCATAACAGGAGTAACACTGAAGAGAGGTATTAAGTTACATTCTATATCAGCTCAGTAAGCAGCACAAATTCACCAAATCAAATAATGTTTAAATACATCCACATGCTAAACCTAGTTAGCGGGAGTACACATTGTACAAACTGCCCTAAAACCCTATTTCAGTCCTGCTATCAACCAGTTTAAAAATAAATGAAAAAAGATAAAGTATTCCTTGTTGCCTAATAGGAGGGGAAAAGTAAAATGACAATGACAAGAATGATTAATGAATATAACTAACTAAAAACGGTTATCAAGTACATACTAGGTACCAGGTTCTATGCTAAGCGTTCAGTGTTCCAGGAACAACAGCCCAGGGCAGGGGACACAAATGGGGTCAGAAACACACGCCAGGTGGAGAGCAATGACCTGTCTCCCTGGAGAAAGATGATGCCTCCTGTGTCACAGTGGCCAACTGAGCCGAGAGATAAGATGACACCTGGCTGGGCACACGGACAACATCACACCTGTGCTGCAGACACAGTCTTCCTAACCCCGACCGTGGCCCCGACCTCAGCCGCAGTGCCTCCCACATTCAGTCTTCTGCACGTCATTTTCACGCCATCAGCCTCGCCTGTGCTGTCCTCTAGATTATTAACATTTTTCATTAAGTTCAGTCATTCTTTTTAAGTCAGTTAAAATTGTAAAGAAATTTTATACTGCTACTATAGACAGAGTATCTGTATCAATTCCGCATCTAGAAGATGTCCATGCTTTGTACACCCTGCAGGCTACAGTGACCCCTGGGGGGGGGGACTGTCGAGACACACATGAGGACAGGCATTGCACCTGAAGTGGCGACGACTTCCGTGAGCGTAGGTCACAATTAAAACACAGAAGTGGACACCATCACGACTGGATCTAGACTTGAGTTAAAAACAGATCATGATCCCCACAATGTAACACTCAACACTGATGCGAGGCTGCTGGGCAAGGGAGAGCCAGCTAATTAAGCCACCCGAGCCACCAGGAAGTCGGCTAGGGGACCTGGCTCAGCACGTAGTTCTGTAAGGACAACAAGGCAAACTGCACCTAGAGGTTGTGGGAGTGTCAGAGGCCTGGTGGGCAGCCAGGGACTGGGTCCCCCAAGCCAGAGATCACGCCCCCTGGATTCTGAAGACGCGGGTGGTGAGAGCCCGTCCCTGGGATTTGATGAAAGGCTGGGGACTTGTTTCTAAGAGTAACAGAAGCTCACACTTGTCAAGAGGCTTGGGGAAGCCAGATGCTGATACGGAAGGTAGTACTGGATTTCTATTACAGATTTTTAAGGTAATGTATACACCTAGGAGGAGACTGAAATCCAGTTTTCAGACAGCTGCCAGAAGATATGACTCCATCAACTTTTAGTGTCAACATACTGCAAAAGCACATTCCCTTACTCTCAGTTCCTAGTTTTCCATTCATAATTCTCAACCTTTGAAGTAACTTCTCATGAATGTTAAGAAAATAGCAGAGGAAAATGATATGAAACCCTATCTGAAAAGATGAAAAAGTCTAGTTACTGTTTAATATGATACATAAATGACAAAAAAAGAGTTAACAAATTTTAATCAAAAAAGACTGAATCCAAGTCCCAATGTAGTCTCTGTGGGGAAAAAAAACAAAAACAAACCAAAAAAACCCTAAAGTAGGTATTCTATCTCACAAGGCAGAAAATATAATACAATTGAGAAACTGGGACACAAAAAGTTGTTCTTAAATTTCCCTAAACATGTATTAATACGCATGAAAAACAGTCTTCACAAACTCCTTGAATACTAAGTTCCAAATACGATGCACGACCTATAATTGTAGCTTAGAAAAGACAAATACAGAGGGACTCACTTCTAAACTTTTTTTGAAATACTTTAAGGATATATATTTAATTCCAAAGCAATTTTGTTACATCTGGCAGGATTTAGTTCACCCTACACGTAAATAGGAGCAAAAAGCTATGTGACACATTCAAGACTGTACAGTAGTTCAACATCTGAACCTCAGTGACAGCTCTGACTCACCGAAAGGACTCAGTGAAATGCGACCACATACGGGAGGGGGCATGCAAACTTCTCCTTAAAGGGCCACGTCGTAAGTATTTTAGGCTTGTGGGCCATGTGATCTCTAACCCAACGACTCAGCTCTACCACTGTACTGTGAGCAACCACAGAAAACAGGTAAGAAATGAATGTGGCTGCGTTCCAACAAAACTTTATTTACCAAAACTTTCTTGACACAAGCTGAAGTTAGCTGATCCCTGACAGTCAGACAATCTTTGACCTGCAGGCAGATTACGACCATGGGAAAATAAGATAAAGTGGAAGCCACACAAGCTCTTTCAGCTTTGATTAAGGGATTCATCACTGATAGAAAAAAATAAGACCCTGACACAGCAGTTACAGGTCCTTGTCTAATTTATGCTCTTCTACACGAAGACACATTTCCACTGGGACCCCATCTAAGAGAAGTTGTGTGGCTTAAGAAAAAAAAGTGAAATTATAAAACTATAAATGTTTATTTTCCTATTATTTAGAAGCTATCTTCTCATCTTAAAAAAACCCCTCTCCCAGTACAACCACAAAGGGCGCGTTTACTGTTACTCACCCATATCTTGCCCGAGATGCTAAACAGACCAGCCATTCCAGACATCCTAAAAAATAAAGAAGGAACCACTGGTGATGTATAGTATAAAACATAGAACAGAACAAAAATCAAGTCACAGGGACTGCCTCTCCACTTCTTGCAACACTGTCCTCTCTCCTAGCTTCACTTCCGGTCTCACAGAGCTTACGCCCCACAGCCATCATTTCAATTATTCTGCTGTAAATACAGTCAAATCCGCTGGTCCTTTCCCCCCACCACAGTACAAAATCCCCAAGTCTCAGCAGCTGCACGTCCCTGGGGAAAACTCAACGCGGCCCCGTCCCACTGTAATGCCTACCTGAGATGGTGGTTCATGTCCTTTCCTCTCCCTTCAAACCTCCCACACCCTCCCCTCCCCATGCACTCTCAGCTGACAGCCACTCCCTGTATGTCACTATGAAACCAGAAGCCATCATGTGATCTGCCTTACCTTCCCAGCACCAAATCTGAGCCAGGTGTGTACCCGCATCCACATTCTCCTGTTGTAGCAAAGCAAGTTTACCTGCCCAACCAGTCTAAGAACCTTCCCTTCTTGCCTTAGACCCCATCCTTTCTGTCTTGTTAATAACTGGGTTCTTTCTGTCACCCCCTCTCCTGCATTAAGTTTCTCCCTCTCTGCTGGATCATTTTCATCTGCATGAAAACCTGTTCTACCCTCTCTCATCTTTTGAAAAGCGCATCACTGGACCTCACATGGCCCTCCAGCTTCACGAAGTTCTTCACAGAGCAGCCTATGCCTGCTGTTCCTCCCTCACTGTATCTTTAACCCATTCAGATCTGGCTTCTGGCCTCCCTGCTGCACCATCACTCCTTATCAAGGCCACGGTGACCTTGCATTGCTTCAAAGTCCATGTCTCAGACCTGATCTTCCTTCACCGCTTGGTAACATGGGACACAAGGTGCTTGAGCACCTCTTGAGTGGCTTCCAGGAAATCTCACCCCCTTGCTTGTCTCCTGCTTCATTGGTTCCCATGTTCAGTCTCCCTTTGCGACTCCTTCTCTGCCCAACTTCTTAGCTTTGGAGGGGCCTGAGGCTCAGCCCCAAGCCCTTTTCTTCCTCTCTCCTTCTAGGTGGTCCCCTCCCTTCTAAGACTTTAAATACCATCCATCCTTGTATTTACGTTTTTTGTTCCTGAATTCTCCATGGAAATCCATCTCCATGCATCCAACTTGGCAGCTCTACACAGAAGCCTGCATCTCAAACTTAACATGTCCAACGCTGAACCCTTGATCTTCTCTTGCTCAAATCAGTAACTGGTACCAAAGAAAATCAAGTTCTCAAACCAGAAACCCAGGAGTTTGTGTGTGTGTATGTGAATCCTTCCTCTCCTTCACCTTAGCCAAGTCTACCTTTAAAACGTATTTTAAATCCACTCCTTCGCTCCATCCCTACTGCTGCCCTCCCCGGGTTAGACCCTGCAACTGCCTCCTGCCGTCTCGCCTCATCCACTCTTGCCCTCTGCAACCTCTTCCTAGAGCCACCTTCTCACTGCAGGCACCGCTAACATCCCAGCTCCTCGCCGTGGCCATGGGCCTGTATGATCCAGCTCCTGCCTCTTCCCTTTCTCGGTTTACACCAGTCTCCCTCCCTCTCACTGTGCCTGACCCTGGCCACCTTTCTGCTCCTCAGCACACCAAGCTCTTTCCAATCTGGGGTCCATGCGGGTGCTATCCCCATTCCAGGGAATATTCCTCCCCCTGCTGGCGAGGCCATGCTACCCTTCAGATCTCACTATGTCTTCCCCTCAGGGCCACCTCTCCTCGCCCGTAACCGAGCGGAGGTCCAGGCTCCCATGGTCATTCGCTGACTGAGCACATGTTTGGTTTTTGTTCTGTTTGTTGTCACAGCCCTTATCCACACTGTGAGTCTTCATATCCCTAGTTTTTTTTTAACTCTGTCTCTCTGTAAGTCACACTAGGGGAGCAGAAGCATCGAGTCGGTCTTGTGCACTGCTGAACACCCAGCACCTGGAACAGCATCTGGCATAAAATCAATGCTCACGCATTTGTAGAAGGAAACGCCGGAGGTGAGCTGCTTTTAGACTAAGTCATGCATTTCCTATAAATGCTACCAGATTACTTATTCCTGAAATACCACAAGATTTGATCCTATTTCAGCAAGGATATTCCTTACACTTATGTATATTAATACAAAATTAATTACAAATATGACAACTCATTCAAAATTAAAACCAAACAGTGGAAAAATTGCCATGGTTTGGTCTTATCTGCCTCCCCAAGTATTGCAGTTTGCCCTCATGGCCAGCAGTTACCCTCAGCAGTATCCTGCTAGGCAGCCAAAGCCATCACACACTTTATTTTCCACACAGATATAGGAGCAATTCCTTCACGAACTGTAATTCAAGAAGGAGTTACTCCTGTATCTTATCGATAGTTTAAAAGGAAGAAAGAACGGTGAATGGCGTTCAATACGATCATCTGTAAGGAGCAAACAGCTGGCGTGGCTCAGGGCAAAAGCCAGAGGAGAGGGCTCCTGTGACCCTCCCGAATCTGGACATTTAATTCCCAGTATAGCAACCACCAGCTGAAACATCTGTGGGTCACAAAACCAGAAACACAACATGGGCCAAGCAGGGCACATGTAGTCTGGGTGACCAGAAGTGAATGAGAAGAAAAACATAGACTTTCAAGGTTTATGGGTTGTTAACTTGGCACCTTCTGTTTTACTAATAGCATCTTGTCATTAAAAAATAACAAGTTACGTTAGAGAAGACGGGGATTTCCAACCAGTCAGAGGCTCAACTGATTGCCATTTCTTCTCTAAGATATAATTCTGCAGGTCTTCGTAGACTCCTGGGCCACGGTAACGGCGGAATATCCCATCCTTCGCACTATAAATCATAAAAACAAATAGAAAACAAATCCATTAAGATAACAAGTGTTACAGATTTTTTAAAAATCAAAATAACCATTGGTTTTACGTGTGAACTCCACTCTGAGTTTTAACTCACCTCAAATGAAGAAAAAGAAATAGTTAGGCATAAATCAGAAAGCATGCATAAGCACTCATCTATTACAAATGGGAAATTCCAAAACAGAGGATGAAACACCCTATTTTATCACTGCACCATTTGTGACTATATGCAAAGTCCTTGGCAGTGTCTACCCTGCCAAGTTATTTTTTATTATTTTTATAATTGGTAAATTATTTTGATTTTTCTCTTACAACAACAAAATAGCAATTGTTATCAAGTTTTAAAAAATTGTATCCACATTTCCAAATTTATGTCATTCAAGAACTTTCCCTGAAAATGAACAAAACACCTCTTAGTCTCACGTACCCCTTCAGTCCTCCCTCCCTCTCGCTTCCTCACCACTGTCAAGCTTCCTAAGGAAGGGTCTACCCTGGCCATTTCCTCCTATTACTCATTCACTCCTGCAGCTGGGCAGGGGTCCTGCTTCCAGGAGTCCATGTGAACTGCTCCTATTGGGAGCCTCCAAAGACTCTTAAGTGCTAAATCCATGGAGCACTTCTCTGCCATCCTTCCTTCGTGTGTCATTGGCACTGTCCACTACCCAGCCCCCCTTCCTTCCTCCTTCCCCTCTTACGACATGGGCTCTCTGGACTTCTACTACCCTGACCACCCCTTCTCAGGGCCACACTGTCTTCCCGATGCTGGTCAACCCAGGTTCTGTTAGGAGAAGTTAATGCTTCTCTTCCCATCGTATCTGTTCTTTCCTTGTATGTATTTCAACTGTTATCTACCTCCATGCTGAGGAATTCCAGGTATGTCTCTCTAGTTTAGATCCTGAAATCAAACTATCACTTACATTTCTCCACTTGGAAATTCATAAACACTTCACACTGTCTTCTCCATCCTGACCTCCATCTTCCAAACTTCACCTGTTCTACTGGTTCCTCAGTCGTTTCTACTAGTGAAACATGGCCTGTCGGTCTTCATCACAGCCTCTTCCTTTCTTATGGCTAATCAGCCACCAAGGTCCAATGATTCCACCTCCTAAGTATCTCTGGAACCCACCCCTGCCTTTCTCCTTCCCCTCGGAGGCCTCCCACCTGATCCTCTCACTACCGGGGCCTCTCACCTCATCCCACAGGATGATCCACTTTACCCGATGGGCCAGCCATAGAGAACTAGTTATAGACTCAGAAGGCACCTCCTCTCCTCCTGGCCTTCGCCATGATCTATGCTCTATCTGGAAAGGCCTTCTCTACCCTGCCTGCTTAACCCATTCCCACTTATCTATTAAGAATCATCCCACTCTTCACATCATCAGAAAAATGTTCCTTGATCTCCCCATTTATTTTTTGCCTGAAATCAGGTTCCCTTCTCTGCAGCACAAGGGGCACCCCCCCTCTTCTCACACTGTCACTCGGGGCAGACCAGTCTCTCCCCCCAAACGCTAAGCTGAACAAGCGATGGTTACGGAAAACAACCTAGAACCCCTGGTACACGTCTACTGATTTCTGATCTTTGCACGACCAGAACATTGTTTAAACTTACTGAAAAAACGCTGGGAGGGTGGTGACGAAGAAGCGGCCACTCAAACCTACAAGAAGCACAGACAAAAAAGTTACCAGTCAAACTCAGACTAAAGCAAGCACCTCAGTTAAGTTCTAAGAACAAGCAGCCATAACCACAATATAAAATCTTTCCAATTACTGAATCACATTTACTATTTATTTGTTTTTTTTTTTTTTACTTAAGGAAATTTCTACCCATTTTTATTCACCTAATACTTTCTAGGCACTGACACACAACTTCCATATCTCCAATGTGTGAAACTGGAGTTTTCTGGTTTGTATATTATACAGAATTGTATCGTGGCTGAAAGGACAGGTTTTAGTCATGCAATCTGGGCTAACTAACTAAATTCTCCATTTACCAGCTTTGTGACCTTAGATAAATTACCTTTCCGAGTCTCAGCTACCTCATCTGTAAAATGGGGACATAAAAGCCTCAGAACTGAATTGTTCTGGGGTTCCATTAGATCATTACCTTAAGTGTTCAGCACATAGTAAAGGACTCAATAAATTATAGGTATTACTACACCAATGACAGGGTTCAAAAGAATAACAAGGAACACAAAATAATAAGATCATGTATAACATTTGTATACATAAAATCTGCAAGTCCTGTCGAGGGATTTTATGTACATTAAACAGATTTTTTTCAATTTGTCTCAGCAAACCTTTGCTGAACACTTAACAACACGTATCACTTGTTATGCCGAGGTACACTGGTACACTGGAGACAAAGATAAAGAAAATCCTCAGTCACTCAGCAAATATTCACTAAGCATCTTCTTTGTTCCAAGGACGGTGATAACCACTCACGATACACAGATGAGCAAAAACACATACAGTCTTTGTTCTCACAGAGTGCACAGTCTAGCAGAAAAACTTAATCAAATAACCACATGACTATAAACAGAGATAAAGGTTATCGAGAAAAGAGACACACAACAAAAACCTGCATGAGACTAGGAGCAATGAGCATCGTGCTCTTTAAATGTTTACAAGTAAATAATACTTATGTGTGTACCAAAAGTGAGTGAGCCTGGCTCTGGCCAAGAGAAGCAAATCTGAAGGCAAATCTGAAGGCCAGCACAGAAAACTGAGACATAATTTTCATGCTTCTCATCACTTTCGCCTTGAAGAACAGCCTGATTAAATCAAATATCTATTAAAAAAAAAGAGGCTCAAACTTTGTATCTCTGTGGTCACCTGTAATTTGAAACACCTAAGTTTTACTTTTAATAACATAGGAAATTTGCTTATACCCATTTTATAAGTTAGACCTATCTATATTCAGGATAATAATCCACTAATTAATGCTGAGTCTTTCCCAAAAAGAATTCTTTATTTGTTCCGAAATCAAACCAAGTAGACTCTGAAACATCCCTATGGCACTTAAAAGAAAACACAGTACTTTGAAGGTAATAAAAGTCACCATTACAAAAAGAAACATTTACTGCATACATTTATCATTGTACATTTGGCGGTGGTGGGGGAAGCTTGTATTGACAGTAACAAAAACACAAGTGACCTGAGAAGTCAAGTGAGAACTGTAACAAGCATGCTGACCTCTAACACTGTTCAGAATTCCAGCCCAGCAGGGGAACATGGGTATCTTTTCAAGTATTTCCAACTCTAATTTACCAGGGGAACAAGCACTGGTAATCCTACATTTTATATGCTTTTACCTTATAATAATTCTTGCAAAAAGGTTCGTATCTCATTTTTCTCCTAGCTAGAGTCTTATGACCAGTCAAAGAAATTTTCTCTAAGGAGTTATAGTAATAGAGAATTACACTTTGTTTATGTGGCCTTTTCAAGAGGAATGAAAAGATAGCATCCCATCACTACTTTGCTTCTATTTATATTTTATTTTTATCAGAATAAACAGATAGGATTCTAATAAATGTTAGGTATCACTGAAAGCAAAGTTTTTAACTTGTTCTTTAAAGTTCTTCATGTGACCTTGGTCATCACTGGCCATGGCAATAAATAAAAAAGTAACACATAACATTTATATCTTAAAAGTAGTTCACAAAATGTATTAGATTATACAACATGCAAAACAGTATGTCCAAACTCACGAGCCGGCTTGCCTGGGGTTAAATTTATTAGTTTTTAACATGCGACAGTTAATTCAAACTCTCTGGGTTTTAGTTTTCTTATTATAAATGAGCATCACAATTTCTATCTTACAGTATTGCAGTATCAAGTGATTTTGTATTTCTAAAGCACATAGAAAACAATGTCTGACATATAAGTATTAAATAAACGCAATTATTTTCTGTATTTAAATCTCTGATTCAAAGTTAGAATAAAATAAGAGGATCTAACAAACACTAATTTAGTCTTAAGTGCTTTGGAAATTGTACATTATCTTCTTAACATAACTTAAAACTTTATAAATAAATGCACCCATGAAAATGAATGCGTAGGAAGAAAACAAGAAAAAAGAAACACAATGATAGATGATGGTCTTCGAGATTTTTCTACATGTCTCTCATTCAGAACGTAAAACAGCACATTGTTCCCAAAATGGCTAGATTAAAGGTATAAAAGGGTATGGCTTCTGACATGAATGTCTTCTAACCTCTAATACTGAGGCTATGAAACGTGATGAGACAATTTTATCTGAAAAGTTAAACCATGACCAGTTTGGAACAGAGAAACACCATGTGAGGTTGTGGCTTCAGAGTTTAAAAACAAGTGCAGATCTTACAGAATTACAACAGGGCTGCAGTTCATTTCAAGGTCTGCATAATGGTTCCCCGCAACAAGCTTCAGAGAGCTTGGAAGAAGTAAGTGCATCTCTTAAATACTTAGAGATAACGTTTGACCACAAGGTCTCCCAGAATTTCTGCATACCTTTTATACTTTCAGGGTAACTTCCATTTTAAAATGAAGACCCAACTGCAACATAAAAGGGATTAACCCAAAATGCAGAAAAACATTTCATTTCTTATTAGCAAGCTTATCTTAAACACATGTAACAAAAGGAAAAGAAGAATTAAAAATTAGAGAAATAAAAATTATGGCAGGGAACTAATTTTCATTTGCAAAAACACAACCAAAATTATTTAAATTCAATATTAGGAAAATAGGGACAGCTACGAGCTTCTGTTCTACCACCTATTAGCTGTGTTATTTGGGGCATGTTACTTAACTTCTCTGAGCCTCAGCTGTCTGAGAAACATATAAATAGTTTGTTCTTCCTAGGATCGTAACGAAGCTAAAATGTATATAAGTGCTTAACACAATTACAGACTGAAGTAAATGCTTACTAAGTGTTAGTTATTATCACCAAAGAAAGTAAAAGAAGGGAAACAATAAAAAAAAGTACAACTAATATCACCTTTGAAATTGGAAAAAGTTGTCAATATATTAGAATACAAAGACTAAGCTTTACAACTATAAAATTAGAACATTAACACTAACTAAAGGACAGTGAACTGAACTGGCTTCTATAATAAATAAGTGGCTTTAAGGATGATGCTCATTCTTGGCTACGGGAAGGGGCTGGTTCACCTCTAATCTAGTGAAACAGCCTGGGTGCTCTCTGAGCAGCTGCTGTTTTCCCGTCCTAGACAACTGAGCTCATCTGCATGGAACAGAAGGTTCAAGTATATCCTCATTAAATTTAATTTTCCAAACTCAGCTCCACTGAAACATCAGCTGGTCCATGCAGTATTAAACAGGCAATGAAAAGCAATCGAATCTAAGGCCTGTCCTTTCCCTGACATCTACATCTCAGCTGTAAAAACGCATTATGTTTGCAACCCTCAGTCTTTCTAATCCTGAAATCTTATTTTCTATTTAAAATACCTGAAAAAAATCTCTTATTTGATATACCGAAAAAAATGGGTTACAGGCATAGCTGAAGAGTAGGCATAAACAAAAATTCTCGCTTTCCCTTTTTCTTCTTTTTAAATTTTGCTTGCAGGCAAAAGAAATGAAATTATCTCTTATTGGCATTCCTGTGCAAGGCAGCCCTGATGAAAGGTACAGTAATGGAGATCTGTATCCAAATATATATCTGTACAAAGAAATGTGCAGTAAAGTGCTCAACTCGGGAAACTAATGTCATTTCAATGGTTTCCCATTGCTCACTCAGGATGTGAGACTTTGTAAAAATGAAGTAAATACTTAAACAGCTTCCAAGGATAGGGACAAGCTGCCCTGGAGGTTTGCCAACGAGTCAGTTCCACATGACACCCTCTCTCCATTCGGCTTTCAGGACCCCTACATGTCCACTACCTTCCTGGCTCACAGGAAGTTCCTCTGCTGAAGCTTCTTTTCTTCTAAATACTGGAGCGTCCCAGTTCTCAGTTCTCAGACTCTTCTCTGCATACATTCTCTAGGTAGGTAATCTCAATTCTTCCCTTAGTTTTGAATATTGTCTACACGGGTGATCATCAAATATATCTCTAGCTCATCTCTATTTGGACTTCTTCACCTCAGACTTAAACCCTGTCCCAAAGTTGCTTCTCCTTCAATCTCTTCCATCTCCTCTCCTTCCACCGAGTGCTACAATCAATCTATCAGAAAATCCTTTGGGATAGTCCAGCCAAGTGCCATCTCTCAAATCCAATCACTTACCACTGCTGCTACGAGTCCAGGCCACCATTCTCTCCACTCTGGACCACCGCATTAACCTCTTCACTTTTCTTCCTTCCATCTCTGACCTCCTACAGTCGATTTTTCCCATAGCAGCCAACTAAATACTTTTAAAACATGAATCAAATCATGTCACTCCCCTGCTCAAAACCTTTCAGTGGCTTCCTTTCTATCATACTTGGTATAAAATCTAAACTCCTTACCATGGCCAACAAGAGCGCACATGATCTGGCCTGAGCTATCTCTCCAGCCTCATTTGTCTTGAGTACCCCACTGGCTGTCATATTTTTTCTCAAATAAACTAAGTACACTATCTGCACATACAGTTTGCTCTGCCTGGAATGCTCCTCCCCTAAAGCCTGTTGAAATTAATTTCCTTAATTTGGTAAGACCTATAGTCAAACAGTACCCCCTGGACATCCTATTAAAACAGTGGTTCACATCATTTTCTATAGTTTTACCCTGCTTTCTTCTTCATGCCTTACCACCACCAGACATTATTTCCCATTTTACTTTCATAACTGTTCATTTTCTTCACTAGGATGTAAGCTCAGTAAGGAGTCAGGTCTTCTCTTCCTTACTCACCTGTATCATTACTCACCTGCGTCATTATTTACCTGCATCATTATTCACCTGTATCATTATCTACTGTATCATTATTCACCTGCATCATTATTTGCCTGCATCATTGTTTACCTGCATTATTATTCACCTTCATCATTATTTACCTGCATCATTATTCACCTGTATCATTATTCATCTGCATCACTATTTACTGAATCATTCATCTGTATCACTGGTATCCAGAACAGGGGCTGGTACATGGTAGGAACTCAAATACTTGTTAAATAAACACATTATTTCTAAACTCTATTAAAATATTATTGGAAAATATTAGGTTTATAATTTAAAGTAAAATTACAAACATAAAAGAGTATAATCTAAAGTGAAATACTCTCTAGGCCACTCAGTCATTTGGGTAGAATTCTGTTTTCTAATTTTTATTTGCCAGTTAGTTTTTAAGTTTTTATCATTTAAAATAATTCTAGAGCCTCTACTTTTAAATAAAAATTGTTGTAAAATACAAAACAATTAATCACATTTTTTTTTGGACTTTGTTTCTTCACTATTCCCATGGAACACCAGACCAAAGACTTTTTTCCCTTCTTTTGATAAATATTCCATATATATATAGAGAGAGAGTTTATATTTACATAAATGCTATGAGTCAGTGATTAATTTGTTTTTAAAGTATTTTGTTATAATTGATTTCTCTCTTGCTTCATTATCAAAAAAGCGCATCCACTTACAATGGAAAAAATAGCTGTAAATCAACATTTTAGATGGAAAGATTATATTCAATTAGACTTTAGATCTGTAAGTCTATCATAAAGCTAACTGTTTAATTAGTTTAATTCAAATCATGCTGTGAATTCACGCCAGGTATGCCAAAAGGCTGAAATGTGAATAGGTCAGCTGCATTTCTAAGAAATTCATCATAAAATGCATCCGATGCCCACTAACTAACAAGGCTTACACCTGATTTCACTGGACACAAACTACTAAAAGACCAAAAACAAGTTTACAACAGCAATGTAACTGCAATGACTTGGCTTCCAAACAGAACAACTCATTACAACAGCCAAAACCATGAACTAATTACTGTAATTCTCCATCTCTAAATAGCAGATAGGTAGAAGTGACTTTGATTCAAATGCTTCAAAAGGTAGAGGTTTGAGGACACACAGCTTATGACAGAAATCCCTCTCCGTGAGTTTGTCAACACACAGACCTTAACAGACACCATTCATTTTGTTGTCCAAGTAATTGGTAATTCATTACTTTGTGTTTTTTGAATTCAGTTATTACAGAGAAGGAATAGCTCCATTTCCATAGCCACCTTCTTCTTCCCCCTTGTGAAGGATGCAATAGGTAGAAATTGAATGTAGACAGGAAAAATTTGACAAATAAAGTTTGAAAATAGTCAAATTTGAGATTTAAATTTTAAAAATCCAACTTTTCTCAATTTACATATAATACAAAGCTATTTTTAAACTATAAATACAAATTTATTGTGTTTTTTTTCAGAATTAATGTCTCTTCTATCTCACTCATTTGAAAAATTACATCATTAACAGCTAATAAATGCAGATAGTGACAGGATTAGAAATTCACCATTCTGGAACACTTAATAAAATGTTTGATTCCAGTAAGATCATCACAGATCTTAAAACCCCAAAGTATCACCCCACAGATTACCTGCTAGCTACAAAATGAAGTCTTTTCTTTGTAACTGAGATCTTTCGTGTCATCACCTTAGCCAAGTGCTCAAACTCAATATCACTATGGTGACAGTATGTGTCTTCTAATGAGATACAATGTAAAGTCACAGCATCACCTGCCCATAAACGTCTGACCTAAATCACACCTCTAGACTAAAGTTTACAGAAAATACAGGATATACAAGAGTAAGTTAAATGTCACTGTAAGGAAACACCTGGGCAAATCCCTTGTCTGTTCTCTTCAGAGTATCGATGGCATGGCCAAAATGGAGGACTACTCTAGCTTGCGAGAAACTAAAAACACACAACCAAATGCAACTGGTGAACCTTGATTAGATCCTGGTTCAAAAACCTGTAAAAAGACATGTGGGAAATAATCAGGGAGATATTAATAAACTGTCATGATGTCTGTAAGTTATATTCAAATGATGCAGAAAAAAAAATATATATATATAAAAATACATATACACATACATATGTGTATACAGACAGACCCAAATATGCCAAAATGTCACGTGTTGATTCTAGGTGATCAGCTTATGCAAAATCAATGTTCTAGTCTTTCAACTTTTCTGCATGCTTGAAAAAATTCAAGTGAAAAGTAACAAACTTACGAATTTAATGTTCAGTATTCACTGTACCTGGTTCCTGAATGACGTCTACCTTCCCCACACTGATCTGAAGTATTTCACCATTCTTTGCAAACATCTCCCATTCTGAATCGGTCTGCTGGCAAGATGGACACCATGGGGCGTAACTATAAAAGAACAATAGCTAATTAATATAAACACATGAAAATATCTGTAAAACAAAACAGAGTGTTTAAATTTAAAAAATAAATTCTTACTAAAGGGAAACACAAAAGCAAGCTTCTCCAAAGTCATTTGACTGAGAAAAACAAAAGTACCTTTCCCCTCCAGAATTTAATATTATGCCTATCAACTTCCTTGGAAAGAATGAGCCAAAGTTGAAGGTTTTTCACAAATTATTGTAATACATAAAATATTTTACTTCAATGTCATTGTTACAATCAACCCAAATTTTATCACTTTCCGGATAGTTTTTGGTTGGAGGGTAAACACTGCTTTGAGAGTGTATTGAAGGAGGGCAAACCTCACAAGGATGCCCCCATCTGCCCAAACCAGTGTCAAACCCATCAAAGCTACAAATCTGATGGGCAGAGAACAGAAGAGATCTGTTGCTCATGGGTCCCCAAGAATGTGAGTCATTTCCAAAGATCTGTGGCAGTTCTGAACCATTTCTGAGAAAGAAAGAAGAAGCTAAACCAACTCTACCTGACACTTAGAAAACCCTGCATCTTCAATCAGAACCCTACTTTTTACATTTATTTTTTCCACTCAATAAACACCAACTGAGCACCATCCTAGAAGCGGAGGCTACAACTGTGACCAACACAGATGTGCCTCCTCTCTCCTTGTGGGTCACACAGTCCAAGAGGGAATTACAATCCAGGCGGCAAACGTGAGAACAGAGCAGATGGTACAGAGACACCCAGAAGCTGGGTGATCTCAGAGGGGCCCAAAAGACAGAAGCATCCGTGCCAAGATCCAAAGTAGGAGTAACAGCCAAAAGGGGTCAAGGAATGTTCTAACCTGAGCAGAGAGAACAATATATGTGAAGGCTCAGAGTACTGAGCATTTAAATCAAGTTGCATAAGGAATTAGGACTATTCGAAGCTCCACGCTTAGCCCTAAAGAGATACAAGGATTATGATCAGATTTACATTTTGTAAAAGTCACCCTGGAGCTCTGTAGATAATGGATCAAGGAAGAATAAGATGAAGCAGAGAGAAGAAATGGAAGGCTGTCCCACTCTAATTCCATCTCTAAAAAAGACTAGCAGAATCAATTCCAAGATTATTCTAAAAGGCCATTAATCTTCCCATTATAGCTCACTGTGCAATCCCTGAGGTCCAGGAGATATGGACAAGAGAACATGGTCCAAGAACGATCTGCTGACATCTTTGAATGTGGATTTTTTAAAACACTTGTATCTCTGCGTTTCCAAAGCAAAGTACACCCTGTTATACAGTAAGTGTTCAATAAATGTTTGTAGAATACATAAATGAACGAACTTTAAAGAAAATTATACTCTTCATCTGAGAAAATAGTTATTTTCTACATACTTTCTAAATATCCAAATGGCAGATGAGACTGTGTCAAGCAGTTGGTAAACTGTAGGGAAAAAAAGGAACATTCTGTTATTAAGTATATTTCAATAGGCATTTCAGTATATTGGATAAGAGTTCTGCCGGAGGAATCAGAAAGACCAACTACAAATTGTTCCACACCTCAGCTTTCTCAACTGCAAAACAGGATAATAACAGCAGCTTAGAAGGTCATGGGAGATTAGATGATGCATGCAAAGCAGGCACATATTAAGAATAATCATTAATATCAATTACAACTGTAACATACTGCTTGGTTCAGAGGCATTTTTATGACGCCTTGGCTCATCTGAACCTTATCATCTCACCGTCAAACTGGGCAGGTTCTGGACACCTAAGAGCTAAGACCACAGAGGGCAAGAACCCAGATGGAGGTATCTGTGTGATTAAAATGTCCAAGGGAAATAAGATCCACCAGAGACAGAGGGAGAGAAAGAGAGAGAGACAGAGGGAATAAGAAAACATTACCAAAAATAAAGACAAAATCTTGAAGTACCATTTAATGAACTCTAGACCCTCTTTGCTTTGTTTCCCTAGATCTGTTTTTGTATAACTCATAGACACATTTGCTACATCAGTAATTATTACATCATGCAAATTTCATCATTTAAAAAATCTGAGTCCCTAATCTCTAGACAGACTATTATACAGATTGAGATCTTCGTGAAACTGATCCTCAAATATATAAATGCCACTGAGGTACTTCTAGATCTTCCATGTTCTTTGTAGCAGCTATCCACTAGTCTGTAAGGCACTGTTAATGCCATTATTTCTAAGATTCAATCAGAGTTTATTGTGTTGGAAAGCGCCAAGGTTATCCATTAACCTAGTGTACTCTTTTAGCGGTGGAGATACAGTTCTGAGTTACAGAAGTGGGAACCGGTCCACTGTTATTGCAGCTTTTTAAACTGTAGTATTCTTTGTATCTAAAAGGCAGTAATTTAGAATTTACTATAAGTAAAACAGCTCCAGGGCCAAATGAATACAAAGGCAAATCATGTGACTGGAAAGATGTTTCTCTTTCTCTCCCTCTCTCCGTGTGTATATATAAATGAAATATGCATGAATAAAACTAATCAGAAAGGACCGAACACAATCTTCCCTTACATTTAAAACTAACTCAGAGTAGCAGTCTTCTCCTAAGAACTATACAAGAGCTGACCAGCCCTAACTTTCTCTTTTACATATAAATTAATCCTTCTTTGATTTAAAAGCCTCCAAGAGGAGTTAGTACCTTTATAGTCATGGAAACTGTAAAATACTATCATTTCTATTTAAACTTTTTGAAGGTGATAGTGGCATATAAAGTCAGTAAGCTTCATAAAGAATTTGAAATACATTCCAGATAGCCAAATATTGTTAAATCCATCAACTTAGATAGCAGTCCGATGTTTTTAACCATTTCTGGGAAACAAAATTCAACAGCATGCTTTTGTTATCCACATTGGTATTTACGTACAAATTACACTTACTTTCTGTTGTATGTAAGTAAGGTGGTTGAGGGCCCTTGATTTAACAATGAAGACCAAAGAGGTATACTAGGTTCATCTTTCTATGACTTAATAGATAAAACTAAATCAAAATGTCAACAAATGATGCCTTAAATACAAGTGTTATTCTACTTTCTAGAAAATCTGGATAAACTCTTAATGAGCCAAGGGTTGAAAGCCGTATGTTCAATTTTCTCTTAGAAGACCATTTCTAAGACAGGTTATCATAAAATAGAGAGAAAAAATAAAACCTGACAGCTCTGTGAAAACCATGACACCTGCAAGAGAAAATGGAATTCACTAACTTCACTAGAATGAACACTCCATGAAGCCAATGACGGGTGCATTGCTTGGACCTAGGACAGAGCCTGGCAAGTCCTAGGCCACAGTAAATACTTATTACATCAATGAACAAATAGAAGACGATAGAGATTATCCACAATATCTGAGACAATATATACAGCTGCTTCTTTCAGTGATACACTGGAGGAAGCGATAGACTAAAGGCAGAATTAAAGCCTATTATTCATATATTCAGAGTCAAAAAATACTTATTGAACACCTCGGATTTGATAGTTATTAAATTTCTATAGATAAACAGGAAGAAGAAAAACATTGTTCCTCTACTTAAAACCTTATTACTAGGGGAAGAGTAAGACCAAAACCTAGTACAAAAAACATGTAAGTTAATTTACAAGTTGTGATAAGGCCATGCTAGATATAAACAAGGCACAGTGAAAAAGAACTTTCCTGGGTGGCTGGGGTGCAGGGAAGGCAGAGCACCTGTTTAAATGGTAGAGTGTCAGGAAAGCGCTCACAGGAATGCTCTTCTTTTGCAGGAATCAGAGCGATGGTAAACCCAACTACTGTGAATCCCACAGAGGAAAGGCCTCCCCTCACGTGGGTGCTGGCCAGCTGAGAGCATAAGCGAGAGGCAGCCAGGCTCTGTGCCTTCCCACAGGCTCCCCCACAACGCAGCCACTCCCCCCAGCTTTCACTGGGGGCTGCAAAGCTCAGGCCAGAACTCTAGCTCTGGCTTTGCCCACCACTTACTAAGGATCTGGCCTAGGCCAAAGCTTTAACCTTCTAAGTTTTCAACTCCTGTAATTCATGAGAATGAAAATAATAATTTTTGCACCAGATGGCTGGGATGATCAAATTCTGAAAGGGAGCATCTTGAACTGGTGATGTAAGAAATGTAACTATTCACTGTGATGGAAATGACCGTGATGATGACGACAGCAGTGAAGATGTTACAGATGATTACTCTTTGTGGAAACAATCTGAAATCAAATACTTTGATATTAGCCTACGAGCTCCTTTTTTGCATGTTTTTAAACCCGTTACAGTACCTAGGGCAGTGGTTTCCAATCAAAAGCATTTGGAAATCTGTATAGAGGATGGAATTTTAAACTTTTTTGGTGTCACATGACTACTAGAATGTTTAACGGGCAAGGACCAGGGATGCCAAAGGTTCTACAATGTGTGAGCCAACCCCACACATCAAAGAACTGTCCAACCCCAAATGCCAGGAGTACCCTGGTGAGAACCACCGATGACCGCTCAGAGAGAGGAAGCATTCATTCAACATTTGCTAAATAAACAAATGCTATCTGTGCTATTTATTTCCTTCACAGCACAGCAACTACCAGCCCCTGGAAATCAAGAAATAGAGCTCATTCCTCATCATCTTCCCAAGTTCCCAACCCTGAACCTGACACATAAGAAGCAGTTAATATCTTATACATTCAATCAACAAATCACAACAATCTACGAGACTGCAAGAAATGACAGCTATTTGACATGGGCAAGTTAAGGCAATGATGTTGAAGATGGCCTCTTCAAGTGTAAGAATATTGGAAAAATGGTACTAAACCCAAGAGATCCTAGGGAAATCAATGAGGCTCTCCTCCATTATCAGATTACTAATTTCAATTCTGAGACATGGTCATCCCAAAAACAAAGTCAGGAAAAGTAGTGCTTTACAAAGACTTATATGCCTTGGAGATAAATTAATTTAACCCAAAGACATATTTTCCTCTGGGCATCAGTTTAAAGTACGTGGGTCAAAATTAAGCTTTGTGGATACATTTATTTCTTTGG